ATGATGTTCATCAATGGACTTGTCACACCGATGAATCATACTACAAACAAGTAGTTGATCGGGATCACTGCTATGATTTTCTATTGGGCCTTAACGACACCTATGAGGACATACAAGGCAGAATTATGGGTATAAAGCCTCTCACTTTGCTTGAAGAGGCCTTTAATATGGTTAAGAACGAGGAGAGTCGTAAGGCATTGCTCCAATTAACACCTCGAGCTCTACCTTCCGCTGATGCCTCGGCTATGGTCATCCGTGGCAATCATGAGAATGAACCTAGAGGAAAGAAATTTCTAAGGTGTGATCATTGCAATAAAAATGGCCATACACGAGACACCTGCTGGAAAATTCATGGAAAACTAGCTCATCCTAGACACCGAACAAAAGGGGACAAGGACAGTAAGGGTATGACAGTGAGCAACATGCAAGACGGTGAGTTTCTGAACCAGGAAGAGGTTTCTATTCTCCGGAAAATCCTAGACAAATATACTCAAGATAAAACAAGTGATAAAACAACCCCTCAAGTTACTCTAGCACATGCAGGTATGATTTTCTTGGCTACTCACAAAATAAAGAACACTTGGGTGGTTGACTCTGGAGCCACAAATCATATAACCGGATTTCGTGAATCATTCTCTGACTTTAAGCCCTATTCTGAATATTCCCGAGTTCAAGTGGCCAATGATACATATGCAAAGGTCATGGGGTCCGACACTATTATTATCTTAGCCACTATTACATTATATAATGTTCTCTTTGTACCTGAGATCAAGTGTAATTTACTATCTGTTAAAAGTGTCACCTGCCAATTAAATTGCCGTGCCATATTTGACAAATTTCATTGTGATTTTCAGGACTTAGCCTTGGGGAGGGTGATTGGCAAAGCTAAGGAGTGTCATGGACTCTACTATCTAGAAGGCGACTCGAAGACTTGTGTGGTTGATTCTTCTGTTTCAAGTTCTTTTTTTTCTGCTATGTCTCATGATGACATATTGCTATGGCATTCTAGGTTAGGCCATCCAAATTTTAGTTGCATTAAAATTCTGTTTCCCGACTCCATCAATAAAGATTTTCAGTTTCATTGTGATACTTGTCATCGAGCAAAGCAAACTCGCTCAACTTATTTGCCAACTCCTTACATACCTACACATCCTTTTGCCCTAATTCACAGTGATGTTTGGGGTCCATCTAGGATTGAAAATATTTCTAATGCAAAATGGTTTGTTACATTCATTGATGATTATACTCGCCTAACATGGGTATTTTTAATGAAGGAAAAATCAGAGGTCTTCTCTGTCTTCAAGAACTTTTATGCTTTTATTCAAAACCAATTTCAAATTTCAATAAAAATTCTTCGAAGTGATAATGGCAGAGAATATATTAATATGGATTTTCAAAAATTTCTTACTGAAAATGGAATTCACCATCAAACTTCTTGTGTGCATACACCAAAACAAAATGGTGTAGCAGAACGGAAAAATAGACACCTTTTAAAAGTGGCAAGGGCTCTTTTGATTGATAAAAATGTTCCGACCAAATTTTGGGGAGATGCCATTCTTACTTCTGCGTATTTGATTAACAGAATGCCTTCCAAAGTACTAAAATTTCAGATTCCTGTTCAAAAATTCTTAGAGCATTATCCTCATTCTCATCTCCTCAACTCCCTTCCCAAACGTGTATTTGGATGCACAGTTTTTGTTTTTGATAATCAGGGTGGAAAACTAGGCTCTAAGTCTGAAAAATGTATTTTTCGGGGTTATCCTTCCACTAAAAAGGGTTATAAATGTTATTCTCCTACTTCCAAACGTTTGTATATCACTCTTAATGTTAAATTTGTTGAATCTCTTCCTTTTTACTCCAAATCACCCATTCAGGGGGAGAGTGATAGAGAATGGCTAATTTGTGTTGGTGATAAGGGTCATATCAGTGAAACCAATTGCGAAAATCAATCATCACCTAGCTATGGCCCCCAAACAGCACCTTCGTCCACTATCCCAATTGACACTAATCCACTTTCCACCTATGATAAGCCGGCTCAGTCTATCCCCGCCATTGAATAGCCTATTATTGAACCTGAACAGTCTATCACCGATTCTGCACAGCCACCTTCAAACCTTGACAATAGACCTACCCATGATCCTAATCTTGAGTCCCAAGTCCATGAAACAGAAGAAGAGACAACAGTTAACAGAGAAGAGTCCATTGCACCACCAAGGCTGAGTCATGAAACTCAACCTGAGTCTATTTCCAAAGATCTACAGTGGCCCATTGCACTAAGAAAAGGAAAGAGAAGTTGCACCAGGTATCCTATTAACAGGTATGTCTCCTATGACAAGCTCAACCCATCCTTTAAGGCATTTGTTGCTAATATTGACAAAGAAGAAATCCCAAGATGTTTTGATGAAGCTATATGTGATCTGAATTGGAAGTTGGCTATTGAGAATGAACTGAATGCCTTAGCTAAGAATCAGACCTGGAAAATAGTGGATTTGCCCCGAGGAAAGCCTGTTGTAAGTAGCAAATGGGTCTTTACCAAGAAGTACAACCCAGATGGAAGCATTAATAAGTATAAAGCAAGATTGGTAGCAAGGGGTTTTACACAAACTTACAGTATTGACTATCTTGAAACTTTTGCTCCTGTTGCTAAGTTCAATACTATAAATGTTCTATTATCTCTTGCTGCCAATCTAGATTGGCCATTACATCAAGTAGATGTTAAAAATGCCTTCTTAAATGGGGACCTAGATGAGGAAGTGTATACGGAAATACCACCAAGATTACGGAACTCTAAAAATCAGAATAAGGTGTGCAGACTTTATAAATTCTTGTATGGACTTAAACAATCCCCGAGAGCATGGTTTGAAAAATTTACATGTGCCATTAAAAAATTCGGTTACACACAATGCCAAACAGATCATACCTTGTTTATAAAGCACTCTAATCATAAAATTACTGTGCTAATAGTCTATGTGGATGACATAGTATTAACAGGGAATGACATCAAAGAAATTGCAGAACTGAAACAGAGGTTAGCAGCAGAATTTGAGATAAAAGATCTTGGGAATCTGAGATTTTCTGGGACTGGAGATTGCTAAATCACCTTAAGGTATTAGTGTGTCACAAAGAAAACACACTATGGATCTTTTAAAGGAGACAGGGATGTTAGGAGCTAGACCAGCTGAGACTCCTATGGAACTAAACTGTAAACTTGAGATCACACCAGATGGGAAGGCTACCAACAAGGAACGTTACCAAAAATTGGTGGGTAAACTCATATACCTATCTCATACCAGACCGGATATTTCTTATGCTGTAGGAGTTGTGAGCCAATTTAATAGTAAACCTCAAAAAGAGCACATGGAAGCTATATACTGAATCCTCAGGCACCTGAAAAATACACCTAGGAAAGGGTTATTCTTTGCTAAGGGGAATAAAAAGCATGTGGAAATATATACAAATGGGAAAAGCGTGAACCCTGGTACAAAAGAAGACAATGACATTGAAGTATATACTGATGCTGATTGGGCAGGTGCAATTGATGATAGACGCTCTACTACAGGCTACTGTACTTTTGTGTGGAGCAACCTAGTAACATGGAGGAGTAAAAAACAACATGTTGTATCTAGAAGCTCTGAAGAGGCAGAATATAGAGCTTTAGCTCTTGGAATCTGTGAAGGGATGTGGGTTGTACGGCTACTGCAGGAACTTGGGATAGAGACTACACCAATAAAAATGTGGTGTGATAGCATGGCTGCATTGAAAATCGCCAATAATCCTGTTCAGCATGACAGGACAAAGCTTGTTGAGATTGATCGTCATTTTATTAAAGAAAAGATTGAGGCTAAGGTGATTGATTAGGCCTACATTCCTACTGGAAGACAAATTGCAGACATGATGACAAAGCCACTGGTTCAGGCAAAGTTTGATGAACTCACAAGCAAGCTGGGAACGATCAATATCTATTCGCCAGCTTGAGGGGGAGTGTTGGAAGTGGGCCCAATAAAGGCCCAATTACAGCAAACCCTAGCTTAATTAGTAATTGCCAGTAATTATATTTTTTAGTATCTGCATAATTTTAGGGATTTGTTAGATTTTTATCTGATTTATTATCCTATCGTTACCCTAGTTTAGATTTGATCAGATTCGGTCAAACCCTTTCTTCCCTCTATATGTATCGATCGGTTCCATGAAATAATACATGAGTTCAGCGCCAAACTCAGTCAGATTCAAAACAATTTATACCAATTGATGACCCCAAATCACTGGCCCTGTAAAAATATCTCTCGCATCCTGGCCAAGCATCAAGCTTGAAGCATGGCATGGTGTTTGAACATACAGACTAGTCCTTCGATTTCTTCCTTCAAGGCCAACATGTAGATCTAACCCAATAAATGGGCATCCCCCCCACCAAAAAAAAAAAAAAAAACCAACTCACAGAAACACATGTTGGTTCTTGATTTTAATATGACTTGATTATGATTCGTTTGTAAATGACAAGATCCATTGTGATTGCCTATAAACAATTTCAGAATATGATGTAAATCAAACATATTGACTACAATTCTCACATTTTTCTCACATTATACATAAGAGGTTCTTATAAATCAAATTTGATTCTCACTCTCTACATATCTCAGCTGATTCTTTTTAATTCTCATGATCCAGAATTTTTTTTGCCTTTACCTTATCATCTATTTTGGTTGACCATATCCCGTCTTATTCAAGGCAAATGCTAGGGAGTGATAGCCGGTAGTCAAAGCTAGTTTTCTATTTATACTCCACCCGTTCAAAATAAATATATATATTGAATTTTCCTAGAAACTTCCATACGAGTGACAGACACAGCTAATATGGGAGAGAGCGCTGCAAGATCATCTCACTTGCAACAGGTCATTAGCAATTATTTTATTTATGTAAATCTAGTAATGTGCATCTCAAGAGCTATAAGAAGAAAACTCATTGTGTAAGATTGCGTGCGTGTGATCTAGAAAAGCAAGCACCTTTTCAAGTCTTGCAACCTCTTCAAGAGTTTGTGAATTCACAATGGCAGCCTGCATACAAGAGAAGCACGATAAACCACATGTAGCAAAAATCAGCAACTACAGACAACCATAAAAAGATGGAAGCTGCATAGCTCACAAGGAATATCATATAGGGGCCAATCAAATGGGGAGTGTTAATATCTTACATAAGTTAAAAAAATTAAAAACATAAATAGGACTCTTCAAAATCTCATATGCAGGTAACTTGAAAGCCCTTCTCATCTTTTATTGTATGATTGAGATTTGACAACATGATTAATTTAATCACTAGAAAAAGTGTTGGACGTTTGCAAAATCTAAATGCAAAATATTGAAGGAAGACTAATTTAACACCTTTTCTTCTATGCTGGATGATGTCCTAATTTTCTATTCATGTATAGACTAACTAAACCATAAAAGTGGAGGTTAAATAGCACGTGAAGGTTAAATAGCACGTGGTTATTCTATCTGAATCTTATCTAATTTTTGTGGCACTTCCATAAGGAACAAATTAAATAACAGCTTGATTCATACATGCATCCAAATATCCTAACAATACACCACGATTATTAAAGCTGCCACAACAAACCTAAAATTTAATTTGTTGCCCCTCCACTATTTATTCAAAGCTCTACCATTTTCATAACTGACTTCCTACTACGATATTGTGTTTGAGAGAGCTATTTAATAAATACAAAGGGGCAGAAGGGAAAAGAATTAGAAAAGACGAATGCCCAAATAGAAGTGCCTCAAGTAGAAGCAGAGATATGCCAAAATCTCACATGCGAAGAAAAATGAGCCCTTATAAATCTAAACCAAATATCAACTAAACATCAGATAGTCATGCTTAAACAAATTAATTTATCATTGGTATACCTTAATTGCAATAATCTGCTCTGGTGTAGGTGCGACCACTTTGGATGTTTGCTGTTCCTGTGTAACTTCAGAGACATTTGGAGTTTCAACAGGTGAAGCCACCTTAATTGGTGCCTTTTGAACTTCTTCTTCTACTTCTTTGGAAGAAAACAAGTTTTTGGCTTCCAACCTCTCCTATTAAGTAATAATTAATTTCAAATAACTATCATTAGGTTGCAAGATAATTGCAGAGAAGGAGTGAGTCAGAAGTAGAAATGCTTGCAATAACCTGACATAATTCTCCTATACGAACATCACAATGACTATTCTCTATTCTCTAGCAACGTAATAAAACCTTCCCCCTACTTATATGTTTTTAAGGCATAATCTGCTTGCAATCAGTTTCTGGCAGATTGCATTTCCACCAGCGAGTCAACTGCAGTAAATTAAGGATCGAAGTTGAAAGACAAAGTATATGCTACAGACTAGAGCTATATGAAATATACTTTTGACACTTGACTCAATGCTCAGTTTTATGCTTTCTTTCTCAAGCTCAAAATGCTGATTTTCTAGCATTCACAAGTTAAGAACACATTAGAACCCATGCTTTACAAAGAAAAAACAGCAATTCAGTTGACAGCAAATATGAGTATGGCGAGAAAGGAAATCTTACTTTATTTTTCACTTTCTTGAAATCTAAAACACGAAGGGACTTCAGCTTGTAAATGACATAAAGCCTGTAATTTGGTTTCTTTGTAATACTGTTATCCAACAAACTAAGGTACTGGAGCTTTGGAAGGGATGCTAAAGGATCAATCTCCACCAAGTTGACAAGCCTGTTATTTGTAAGAACCAGCGTATGTAATTTTGGCAAGAATTCTGCAAGGCAAGGGGCCCAGTAAGCTACAAAAACATACTATCTTGAATTCTTGAGTATATCTGGCAGAAAAGCATAAGGCTGGTGACTAAAATTATGAAGTAAATAGAAGAGATGAAGTTCAAAGCCAGAATACCTCCAATGTTAGGATTAATTCTAGTAATTCTATTGTTATTTATGAGTAGGGTACCCAGCCGATTGAGATATGGCAAGTTTTCCAGCTTGACAATCTCATTGTCAGAGAGGTCTATGGTGTCAAATTGGTCCTGTGAGAGAGTCAATACAAAGAAATCAAGAAATTTATCCTCAGCCAGACAAAGCATTACTTAAAGCAATCGCACTGCTACAGGGCATGGACTGAGCAATATAAAGAAACATAGCAAAAAAGGAGAAAAATAAAAGAGCCACGAGGCATATCCAATACCTAAGCATACGGGATAAAGTAAAAGGACAGGAAATGAAGCTAAATTTGCGCACCTCAGTAGCGCCCAAATTTTCGATTACAGCTATCTTGTCCCCTGAACAATAACAAAACTTGTTATCACACTAACTACAAGCAACTCATCTCTCAAAGAGAGATGAGAAAGAATGTAAACAACACTCTACTAGACTCACACAGGAGCAAAAATTTAAAGGGTATTGCATACCTCGCAGATCCAATTCTCGCTCTTTAATGGCATTAAAGAAATGAGGGCTTTTCCAGATAAGGTCGGCAGTGAGCCTCACCATCTCGTCCCTTTCTGCGTTTGCTAGGGAAACTTCGAACCTCCAAGGCAAGGTCTAATGAAGAACTGCGCGGTGAAATGCCGCTTGAACCTAGAAGGATTTTCGTACTGACCTTTGCTCTCGTTATTAGGGCGCGTTTGGTCGAAGGGAAGGAGAGGAGAGCTTGCGTTGTTACCTTATTTGGGATATAAAAAATAAATAAAAATAAGAGATAAAATAGATTAGGATGTTATATTCAGAATCAAATTGAATATCTAGTTAGCCCTATTAAAAAGGAGTAATATTAATTAATTATATTTTTTATATACAATTTATTATTTCAAACAAAAATATAAATTAAAATATATTTTTTTTATATAATTATCATATTAAAGTATGTCTTTTTTGGTAATTTATACTTTAAAAAATGATTACAATAACAACCACTTAAACATTTTCACTTTATCAAAATTATTTTTTTCACAAAATCTATTTTTTTAAAATTTATTCACAAAATCTATTTTTTCAAAAAAATGTTCTTCAAAACTATTTCTAAATCACAGTTTGGCTTCACCCAAACATCTCGTTATACTTTATAGAGAGGAGAGAAGAAATTTCAAATGGTCATTACTTGGTCCAAGAGGAAAGATGCTGGTAATAATTAAATTACATCGTTCTCTTTTTTTCTTTTTTGCCGGTACTAATTAAGGTAAAATGACAGAAAAAGAAGTTAGAAGTTACAAATCCCAAATCAGGTTTGGTAATATAATTTTATTTAGTATTAACAAATCTGAATTTACAAATAACGACAAATTTTTGTTGACATTTTTTGTTTGGCATTTACAAAATTCCAACTTTTTTTTTGTCATTGTCGTAATAATTAAACTACCATTATATCTTTATATTTTAGTTTATTATTTTTTTACTCGTTAAAACTTAAAACAAATTACTTATATTCAATATCATTCGAAAGTGGATTTATAAGTATACATAAATATTTTAACAACCGAAAATAACAAAATAACAAATATCTATATTGCATCATTTACAAGTACACAACATGTCACACTTTACTTATATAATATCTTAGCATCCATTTCTAATCATTTTAGACTACTTTGGATGGTTTTAAATTTAAAAATTTCAATCTAGACGTTAATTTTCAGAAATTTACTGTTTACTATCCAATTTCCAAATTACAGGTCCAACTTTGAAAAATCATAACTAATTCTAGAAAAATCGTATAGAGGTATTCCAAAATTTTATAGAAAGCTCTTTCAATGCTCTTTAAGGAAAAAATATCAAAATAGACTTATCTTTGGCCAATTCGTATAGTTTAATCAATAAAGATTTCTATTTATTTGGTAAAATCTGGAACTTTCAGATTCTGTGCCTCAATTTTGAAAATTCATATCTCCTTGTGTACACATCTAATTGAGGTGATCTACCTTTTATTTTAAAGCTTGAGGTGTGTACTATAAGTCTATCAAATTTCATAGCCTAACTCGTTTACTTGATAGGTCAAACTGAAGCTCGAAACTAACTAGTTTAGGACCTACATTTTATCCCTTAACTAACTTTTGTTTTAATTCTTTTTATTTTTTTTTAGCATATAAAACTTGGGCTTATTCTTTCCCATTCATGCTCATACACTTTCATTCATGCTATAAACATTCTAAGCACATACATTGCATTGATGGCATTCATAAAGATAATTTACAATATAGGAGAATTATATATTGAACATTAATCTCATTCATTAAAATCAATAATTCTCTACCTTCTTCTCCTTATTTTTCATGCCATTATTGCCCATCATTAATTGACCTAAATGGTTGGTTAGGGAAAGGTGAGATTCGGGAGAATTTCAGTAGCAAACAATACCATATTAATCATGCTAGATGGATGCTAATGCATTACACGCAACTTGTTTATTCTCTTATTAATTAGTGACATATTAGCATGCTCAAAGCTAACTTCTTCATGCATGGCCATAGAGACATAATCTACTCATCATAAATAACAATTATAGCAGCTAAAACATGTCACAATAACATTCAAATTACATGTACACAGCAACACTCAAACATACAACACTCAAGCATACAACATCAAGCAATGACAATAGATAAGTTCACTACCTTAGACTTCAAGCTTTCCTCTTACTTTTTCTTTGACTCTCGTGACTTTCCAACCATGTGGTCTTCGGTCAACATCACCAAACATCCTCTTGGATGTTCCAAGGTCCTAAACGTAGTCACATTAATTATACAATCTATTAGGACCAAGAGATTAAATAAAGTTCAGGACTAACTTTCTGGAGCTCTAAAAATTATTCTGTCTGCTCCAAAAATTCCTTCCACCCTTAGAGAAAAATCTATGAATTTTCTTACGTCATAACACTTCCTTTAAGCCTTACATAAAAATCATTTACTAAAATACCCTTTTTATTGGCATAATTAGCTTTTTAATTTATTAAAATCATTCCACTGGCCTTTTGGTTACGGGACTAATTTTATAAATTAGTACAACCTTTCAATCATTCAACCCCATTTTTGTATATATTTTTTAGGTCTCTTGCTATTTTAAATAATTACCTCAAACAATCTGCTTTTTACCAGCCATAACATTATAAATTCCATTTAAGCTGCTTCAGGGTATTTTTGTCATTTCTCTTCATAAAAGAGCCTTAGAATATTATTTCCCATATTCTAGGATTTCTTTGGAATTTTCTATATACTTTTCCCTTTTTACTCTTGTTGGCCGTAACTTTCTGAATTTACAATTTAGTCTCTGCTTGGACTTAACTTCATGCAATCATCTCTTTGAGATTTCTAACTTAACTCTTGGCTTGTTTCTACTCTCTTTTCTCTTTCTGGGCCGTTAAGACTTTACTATAACCTCTAACTTTGATTATACTTTAGCCCCTAAAAACTTTTGCTTTGCAGTTTAGTCTCTAAAACTGTTTTGACTTCCTTTCTTATCTTTGAGACTTCTGCTAAAAAAAGGCTTAGTAGCCTACCTTCTTTAGCAACTTCTTGGGCTCTTAAACCTAAAAATTGAGATGTGACACAACACATTTTACCAACTAACAAAAGCAAAATTATAAGTGTCCTTCTGAAAATGAGAAAAAGACACTAAAATACCCTAAAAAAATGTTAAAGGAGAAATCAGGGTGTGTGAGTTTTAAAATCCCAAATCAAATCCCCTATACTAGTTTGAATAGTTTGGAATTTTAAGATATTGTGAAATGACAACACTATCCTTATTCATTGTGGCTACTCTCATATAATTATTAACTATTCTAATTTCACTATTGACTACTTTTATTTTTAAAGTTATGGTGACTATTTTTATATAGCTATTGAGTATACAAAAGTAGTAAATAACTAAACAAAAAGTAGTCACTAGATCTCTAACAATACATAATGTATTTTTGGAATTTTTAAAACAAAAGTAGTTAATAACGAAACTAGAGTAGTCAATAGCTAAACAAAATGGTCACTAAAATTTTAAAAATGACAGTAGTCAATTGCAATACTAAAATAGTAGAGTAGTCATTAGAGTTCCAAAAACAAATGTAGTCAATACTTAAAAAAGAGTAATCAATACATAAAAAAAAAGTCACCAGAGCCTTGGCGATTGGTCACCAAAGCCCTGCCGACTGGTCACCAGAGTTCCGATGACATGTTACCACAACTCCGGTAGTCGGAAACTAAGGGTGCTGAGGTGGCAATATTGTAAAAAAAATAGTAAAGGACACTTGTGTAAGTTTACAAGATTTGAAAATTCTAAGATGGCACAAAGAGTATGAATTGGAATTTTGAAACTCACACACATTAATTTGTCCTTTAGCAATTTTTAGAGTATTTTATTGTCTTTTTTCATGTGAAAATATACAAATTCTAATTTATATCATATTTTTTTACCCAAATTATATAATTTACATTATAAGAACTTATACAAAAAAAAATTATTAGTATTCATAAGTGAATTAATAAGCACATATACAAATTTTAACAACTAACAATTACAAAATAACAAATCTGATTAGAGAATTTCACCTTATAGATGCAAGAAACTTTATTTAAGTTTTTCTCATTTAATTCAAGAAATGGTAAATAAAGACCCTAATATGTGAAATTACGATTTGGGACCCTTAATTTGGAAAATGACAAATGAAAACCTGGTCCCATATTGCAAATATGAAATCTTGGTGAAATGTTTGAAATGCCCCTCGGCCAAGTGACAAGTTGACTATAGGAAATGACAAGTTTATTTTAGCGAATGACAACTTCAGTAAACCAAACACAATTTGGCTGAGGGTATGCCAAATGACAAATTGACTATGGGAAATGACAAGTTCACTTTAGCGATGACAACTTCAATAGACCAAATCACAACTTAGCTGAGGGACATTTTAGATATTTCACTAAGATTTCATATTTACAATATGACACCAAGTCTTTATTTGCCATGTTCTAAATTAAGGGTCCCAAATCACAATTTTATATATATTAGGGATCTTTATTTGACATTTTCCCTTAATTCAATGTTTTATGAGTTAATTTGTATCTTAATTCAAATTGTATAATTTTTAAAATTCACAATGTTGATAACATGTCTATAAAAATATTATTATAATGATACTTTTATCTTTAATTAATATAGGAAAATTACACATAGGTTCCAAACGATATAATTTGTTAGTGTAAGGTCCCTTGAAATCTAGAAATGAATGAGAGGTCACATGAGACCAAAGGGTAATATATTCTGAATAAGAAATTATGTCATTGTCCCTAGCCCCAATTGACAAACTCATGGGCATGAATTAACAAGTCAATAAAAAGCTATTAACAAGTCAGGGATATTAGTTGACAATTAAATTTATGGGATAGTATAACATCTACATAAATCAAATTATAAGAAAAGAGTATTATATAACAATCTTTAAGATGAAATCATGTGTGACCAAAGCATGCACACTAATATTAGATGAAATGATGGCTTTGTATCATAATTTTGTTGCAGACAGCTATTAACAAGCTCATAGATATGGATTAACAAGTTAATAAGAACATATTGACAAGTCAGAAGTAATTTATGAGATAATATAACCTTCATATAA